AAATTTGGCAAGTGAAACTGATCTGAATGAAAAATTCGTAGACATCTTATTCTTGGAAAGGATACTGTTGTCTTTTTCTCTACCTAGGTTTACTTCTTAGTGATAACAACGAAAGCAACTGATGAGTCTGAGTGGGGATCCTTGATATTTGTGTAGCAGTTTCAGTCTGTTCAGACTGGTACTAATCAATGCGTTCAGTCTTAAACAAGAACGAGTTTTATTCAGATTCAAGTCACCGAGAAGTTCCGGCAAAAGCGTATTATGGATGTGGAACAAAGGAAAACAACCAAGAGCAAACAGCCACCGCAACAACCTCAGAACAATAGCAAAAGCATCGAATCGCTGTCCACATCGTCACTATTCCGATAAAATTGCTATTATCACTCCAGCGGCTAATCAAATGATCCATTAGTCTGAAATGAATTTGCGTTCTCATGCAAATCTTAATTTGCGAAAATAAAGGGATAGTTTATCGCTTTGATAAATGAACACTTTCCGTAGCCTGTTAATTAAAGAATGGATTTTTGATGTTGTGTGTATATGTGTTCAGTGAATCGAAGGAAAATTTTATTTGTGAAGTGCAGAGCTGGGCCTGTATCAGAGCAAGCAATTTATTTAGTCGCGCATTTATGAGTGAGTGCAAAAATCGGATCATAGGAACACTTGGGCTGGGCGGTAGTCCATTTCAAGTGATTGTCATGAAACCCATTAAACAACTGCGCTCCCCTCCTAGTGAATCGACCTGTTCTTTGCGCGCAACGAACGATCCAACAGGAACACGCGCGGTTGGAGGGGAAATGCTATTAGTGGTGAGTGCAAGACTGGCCAAACCGTTACAATCACATCCTGTAGCTGTGCAGCACGAAAACAGGATGGCCACAAACTACTAAAATTTGATGCGATCTGGCCCAATGGGACTCAGCCGCGATTATGTTCTGGAACTGTTTTGACCTGAGTAGAGTTAGCAGCTTGTTGTGGTGGAGAATTAACTTAAGCGACAACGCACCAGGATTTCCGGTGTGCTCGTGCGTTTTCGTGCTAAAATTGAAGCAGCCAGTTTGTTAGCTGTAATGGTTGTCGCTTTATATTTAACATGCGCATTCATCGTCACAAATTACCGTAAATGATGCGTAAAGAAGAATGAATGTTTCCGTTGAGCGGCCATTCATTGAAAATTACCGGCTGTTCTAGTTCTCGGATTAGCAGTTTCTCTGCTAAAAATTTTGCTTATTCGTATATGAGAAAAATACTTGCCTGGGAACTGGATTTGAAATCTTTGACTGCAAGTGGACAGGGGACATCAACTAAAAACTTCAGCTTTCCAGCTTTTCTCATCTTTAAGTCAGGAATTTTACTTTCCTATGCTTTTCATATATGCAAGAAAGTTGTACAACGTTCCTGGAGCGCGCAGGACGAGGGAACTTAATGGCGAAATTTCAGCACCAAAGCTTGCTTGGTTGCCGAGTTGAAATACTCGGGTAGATGCGCACATTTATACGCATACATATGCACACAACATAGATACACTAATAAATCGTCACAACGTGCATTTTTATGCGTTTTTGCTGTTCGGCGCTACTGTAGCGTTATAGCGCTGTTACAGCCAGCAAAAACGCATGTTGTTGAGAGGCTGTGTATGTGTTGTGTGTGTGTGCGGAAGCGAGTGTATTTTGTCACCCACTTTCATCTCAGCAACCAGGAAAGCTGGGAGGCTGAAACCGGGCATATGTTCCTACTCCGTTTATCACCCTCCCGCTTTAAGATCTTTTCCCATAGGCGCCTAGACCTCACGTACGGAGCCCAAAAAATATGCAAATTTCTATGCAAAAAAATTTTTTTTTCAAAAAAAAAACAATTTCGCGAACGAGGCAAGGTACAAAGCTGAAACTTTGCAGAGATATTCTGTGTGTATGTACGAGCTAAAGATTTCAAACTCAGCCGCCGTGCCTGTTTGTGCAGCACGTACGATTACGTCAAAGTTTACGAATTGGTACTATGCTAGTACCAACTAGTATCAATTCGTAAGCTTTGACGTGGTCGTACGTGCTGCACAAACGGGCACGGCGGCTGAGTTTGAAATCTTTAACTCGGTAACCTGCCAAAAGACAGTGGCTGAAATTTTGTCATTATGTTTGACTCCCGTATAGGAAACAGTATACCTAAAATGAGTACCTATTTGCATGATGAGGGGGGAAAATTGCTAACTCGGGTACTAGGAAAGCTAGAAAGCTGAAATTTTGGAGGAATGTCCCCTATCGAAGTATAACTCAAATATTTCAAATTCAGCCCCAAGCTATGCATGGTACTCACGTAAGGGCGTATGAAAGTTCCTGCAGGAAAATTATTAACTCAGCAACCAGAAAAGCTGGAAGGCAGAAATTTTAGGGTGATTTTCCTTATCCACGAGCAATTTAAAAATTTCAGATTCAGTTTTCCCGGTACGTAGGATACCCACGCACAGGCATGTAAAATTTTTAAAGGAAAAATTGCTAACTCGGTATCCAGAAAAGCTGGAAGGCTGAAATTTTGGGAGAATATTCCCTGTCCAAGTGTAACTCAAATATTTCAAATTCAGCCCCAAGCTATGCGTGGTACTTACGCAACGACTTATGAAAGTTTCTGCGGGGAAATTACTAACTCAACAACTGGAGAAGCTGGAAGACTGAAACTTTAGTGAGGCTGTCCTCTGTCCAACTACAACTTAAATATTTCAAATTCAGCCTTGAGTTACGCGTGGTTCTCAACTATAGGCACTTGAAAGTTTTAGCGGGAAAATTGCTTACTGGACGGCCAAGTTAGTTTCAAAGAACGGCCGTTAATGAAAATTATTTACTTTGTTCAAAATCTATGGTAATTTATGCTAACGAGCGCAAAAAGTAGTAAAGCAACAACCATTCATGCAATTAATGATCTGAGTACTTCAAGTCTGGTGCAAAAACGCATACTCGCGCCTGCAAGCTTGATGCCTTTCTATTTGGTTTGCTGATTGTTGCGAAGCAACAGCGCTGCCACCAAAAATGAATAAAACCTGCACTAAAATCTGCGTTTTCAATTAAGAGATCAGATGTAGACTAGTTCTCCATGTACCTATTAAGTAATTGTAATTCCTGCACATATCACTTCAATATTCTTTTAATTGAAAGCTTCCCAATTCCGTTCACTTATTTGTCAGCACTATTTGTGTTTTCTTTCTCTCTGTCGCAATGCGCTTGGCAACATTTTCATGTCCCACTTCTCCATAATATGAATTATGTAGCAATTGCTTCCTCTGAGGGTTGCTTAGAAGGAAGGTGGGGGAAAGTTTGACTTCCTGGAGGGCATGATTACTAATTTACCATCGAAACGACTGATGAATCGTAGAGAGACTGTTTGTCACAATGACCGAATGAAACTTTTGATTTTTAGAACGAGACTGCATGCAATTATACGTAGGAACAGAAGCGTAGGACAAAAACAGGATTGCGGCAGCACTTTTTCGGAAGGATGAAATAGGGCCGTAGAGAGGCGAGTGCCAGGCAACCAGACAGTACTTTCGCCATTTATGACTTATCAGCTGTTTTGGAATAAAGTTATTTTGGGGTGAATGGCAGCAAACCGAAGCACATGCCATTTTGGACGTTACCCTGGAGTGCATCCCAGTACAAGCAATACAGATCCGATGCATATCTAACTTTTAGGCTCGGCGTGTGGGAGCATTCCAGTGACAACACTAAAATGGGATCACCATATCGA